AAATATTTAATACAGAATAAAATATTTAAAAAAAAAAAGAAAAAATGAATAGTAGGAGTTGATGAAAAACTGCCCAACACGTAATCATAATTATAAGGTTGTGATCATTAATAGCCACAGAATTAATACTTATGACAAGTAATCATGGGTTATAATTAATCATCTTTAGAAATAATAATGCAGATACAGAAATTCAATGCTTGCAGCTTCAGTGACAGGTGATAATGTAAAGAGGAGAACGGTGATTCAGGCATCTACATCAGAATTACTTCGTGGCCTTGGACAATATCTATCAAAACAATGTCATATTCGACATTTTGAGCCAGCTCAACTTGTCATGTGGCTTAGGACCATTGATAGAGCACTTCTGTTGCAGGTATTTTAATACTTTAATAAAAAAATTTTACCATTGAAAATTTTAATTTTCAAATTTGATTCAAATAAACCATGATAAGATAGTTTTTTAAGGAGATAAAAAATAATACAAATTCAGTACTTGTTGACAATTTTTGTTTTCAACAATTTTTCAATTTAATTTAATATTTGAATTGATGAAGTAAATTTTCGTTTAAATTATGGTAATGAAATTTTACGGAGTGGAGAAAAAAAAATTTTTTTTTTTTTGTTGACATATCAGAATAATTTTAGGGTTGGCAAGATGTAGCATTCATTAATCCGGCAAATTTAGTATTCGTTTATATGCTTGTGAAAAGTATTGTGGGTAATGATGCAACGATTAAAACGGTGGAAGAGTTGCAATCAGTTGTACTTACCTGCCTTTATATAAGTTACAGTTACATGGGCAATGAAATTTCCTATCCGTTGAAACCGTTTCTTATTGATCAGGTTCAACTTGCTTCTTTGATTTAAGCAAATAATTAAGAAAAAAAAAATTCCGAGATAAAAAAATTTTTTTTAATTATAAATTTCAAACAGACATATCCATCGCATTGTTCAAATGACAGTTGTCAAATGAATTTAAATCATACCCGAATTAATTATTGCTCATATTTACTGTAGAAAAGTGTGAAACTAAGAAAGATTCTCTAACTTCCAACTCCTAAATCATTCTGCTTAATTTCGAGAACTAATCAATATATATATATATATATATATGATATTTTTAAAGTTTTGTTCATAACATTTCAGCAATCATTTATTCGATTACATTGCAAAAAAAAAAGCATAAAATGGTAGTATCATTAAATATTTTAAAATTATCTATGCAAATCATTTTATCCAAAATGTTTTAGGCATACATATTATTTGTTTAATTAATTTTCAAAAATAAAAATGTGATAAAAATGACGTTTAAGCAAATTTTCAAAAACAAACTTGTCATACTCAAAAAGCAAGAAATAGTGAGGAAACGAACAAATTGTAACTTATATCATTGAAAATTAATGATTAAGTAGAGTATATGCTTCCAAAGGGAAATATTTTAAGCAAACTATTACCGCCAAGTTAGCATTTATCCAGTAGGAATATTTCAAAAAACATTCATCACCAATATTATTCATAATCTCGAAGGGAAATGTTATAGAAAAATGTTTAAAAAGCTTTAAAAAAACAAAAAGCATGCAAATAGTATTTTGGGATAAAGAAAAAATTTATTCTCTTTTTTACGCCTTTTTTCTTATCATTTTTTAGAAATATAAAATTTGATGTATGAAATTTTGCAATATATTACAGTGCCAATGATATAATAATTTTTTTTTT